ATGACCTTAAATACTGGCCTGCTGTCGTCTCAGTCATACAGCCGCCTGAATAATTAATAAATCAAACACTGTACAAAGCAAGGAATTTAATCTACTGACTATTTAATGAGGGAGCAACTAATGTCTGTTTCAGAGGTGAAAGAATCCATTAGTAAGAATGTGATATGTGTCCATCTTGTGTAGTTGCAAAAGCAGGACAGATCAACATGAAAAGCAAACAGGTGCAGCCACTTAAGATTTACTGTTTTCTTTTTTTGTTGCATGGCTGCAGTTGGTTTAAAACATGTTTAGGGTGCTGGTTGTATATTTTTTAGCAGAGTCCAAAACTACATAGAACACCCTCAAAGAGCAAAGACTACTGAAGATATGAAATGAAGGTAATTGGAATCCAGTGTAAAAGGTTTTCTTTCTAAAGTGACCCTTTGTCTGAATTTGGTATTCTTACAGAGGCAAAAGAGCCACTTGTATGAAATCTTTACAATGTTGTACCAAACGGTATACATTGAATCAGAGTCTGGACTCATTGTAGAGTTTGTGTGTGTTCAAAATGTGCTTCATTACTCCGGAAGGAGAGAAGCAGGACAGAACCTTTTAAAAAGGTTTGTGTGCAAGGGACATCAGTGCTAAATAATAACATTTGATGATGATGATGATGATTGTTATTAATAATAACTTTATTTTACATAGCGGTTGATGGAAAGGAAAACAAATTAGGAGAAAACAGAGCTGGCACAATTAAAAACGAGGATTGGAGTGCAGTAGAAGATTCAAAGGGGCAGACATCAATCAAAGTGAAAGCCTTCTTCTGAAGGCTTCTGAAGAAGAAGGTTTTGAGTCTGGATTTGAAAGTGCTCAGGGAAGTTGACTCTCTGATATCCTCAGGTATAGAACTCTAGAGCTCTGGGGTATAACAAGAGAAGCCATTGCCACCCATAGAGTGTACACAGTGTGGTCTCCTGTTTGTCTTGGGGGAGTCAGAGAAACAGGGGTTTGCAGGTGGGGAGTACGGAGATAAGAAATCAGTTAGGTACTGAGGTGCTACGTCATGAAGAGCCTGATATGTGAGCATGAGGATTTTGTAGTAGACAAGACACCTGTTAGTTAGCCAGTGCAAGGGACCTACAGTAAGGACAGTAGTAATGTCATCACTTGCATGCTGCCAAATTGTGAATCTTCTGATACCCCAGCGAGTAGGGCTTTGCAGTAATCAGTTCTAGAGAAAACAAAATGCTTGTCCCTTATAGCTTTTCAGCTATAGTCAGAGCCCCTTCTTACCTGCTGTCCTTTGTTCTCCTGTGCCTTATTTATCTACTAATTTGCCTCTCTCCCTCACACATGAAGAAGGCTCCACAGCTGAAATGCGGTTTACCTGTTCCTTTGCAGCCTACACATGCTGACACAGCTACCTACTCGCACAAAGGATGTAGTCTGTCTAAATACTGCGTCGTTACCAAAAAAATAATGAAGTTTAAATAAAGGGTAAACTTTAAAGAACAGCAGAATCTTTTTATTTTCTTTCTTCAAGGAAACGCAGATACCCATTGGCAGTTTTAGAAGAGTTGTGAAACGATCTGACACATCCTTAGTACTACTGCAATTATGAGTCATATGTGGAAATGTTAACATTTTCAAGCTGCTGTGCATGGCATGTTTTTAATGTTACCCCTGAAAAATATGCCATTAATTAGTTTGATGGGTCACAGAAACATAGGTCGGTTTGGGCTCGGCAATTGAATATTATGAGGTGTGAGGGAAATGTGACAGAATTTTCAAATGTCAAACCATCTTGGAAAGCCTGGAAAGCCGGCAGAGTAAATAAAAACTATTTGAGAATGTGTTTTGTGCTGTCTGTAGATTTGTAATCACCCCTCATTTCTATCATACTTTGCAAGTGACAGTGAGAGCATTTTGATATGATTACATAGTGCAGTGTGGGTAAAATATTTAGTATGGTGCAGCATTTTGTTCCAAAATTTTATGTGAGTTTTTACAAACTAGAACACAACAAATATATGTAAATAAACATCTTATTTAACCCCAAAAGGCATTTATGAGTTGTCCACCCTTGTTGTCTTCTTACAAAAAAGACAGAATTAGCTCCATGTCCACTATAGCACAGCAGTAGAGTAATGATTAGGGCTCTAAAGATTTAGCTGTGAATTTGTGGGTTCAGATCCCAGGTGGGGTGCTACTACTAAGCCCTTAAACTACAGTAGGCACTTTACTTAGATTGCATCAGTAAAATTTCCAGCTGGCTCAGTGGATACAAATGTAAGGTGCTTTGGGTAAATGATTCACCCAAATAAATTAATTGCAAAGAATGTGTGACTGGTAGTTTGCCATCACTTACAAAAGTGACCAACGTGCACCTATAATTCTGCTTTCTGCCTTACAAACTCCGAGCTCCAGACTGCCTGATGTACAGTACTTTCATATTCTCCTTAGCTCCTGTGAAATTGAATCCAGCAATGATATCTTCTCTTAACACGAAGGCTAGTACAGGTCTCCACTTCAAGTGCTGAAAGACTAATCATTAGGTCTACTGCACCCTTTAGATGACATACTGTAAGAGTTAGAAATGTACTCTGTGTAGCTGTATCATCATGGATAATGCCTTATTATTATGATCTATTAATTAGTGGTACTTTATCCCGCACCTCAGTCTGCTTTGCATTAAAGTGGTGGGTAGTGCTTCTTCATACAGTATGTTGTTGTTGTTAATAAATGGGTAACTGAAATTTTTCATCTAACACCTTTGAGAAACAATTTTTAAACAGTAGGAAAGCATTATTAGTAGCCTGGCTGTTGCTCTTCTCTGTTCACTATCTGAAACAAGATAGACTCCAACTCTTAACTGCCACTGCTGGGTAATTAATTGTTATTGTAAGTAGATTTGCATACACAGATGTGTGGAGCTGGAATAAAATTGAATTTGATTTATGCTTTCCAGTACATTTTTTCAAGAACAGCTAGGTTGATTCCAAAACTGTAATCCAACTTCTTGTTTCCATCTCTATTTGAAGTTCTGCTGAAATTAAGGGATGGGATTTGGTTTGGAGTATCGACTGACTGTGCTGGCAAGAATTTGCCTGGTTCATGGAGATTTTGTTATTTTTGCTACGAAAGCTGATGCCCTGAGTTCAGTTGACAGTCGCTGTCTTGCCTGTGAAGCGAAGGACAGACTTCTCCTCCTGCATTCAGTAATAGTTCTTTAATCATCTTGGAGGTGCCAGACGCAGTCTGACTCCTTGGAGTTTTTGGCAGATGTTCTGCGAGATTCTGCAGTTAGAAAGTGTTGTAGCCCCATTAATAATGTTTCACAATCGGAGTGTTGGAACTTCCCCTGTTTTTTTTTCTTCCGCCTTTTGTTTGTTCTTTCAGAAGATCTGTCTGGTTGATCTCATGAACGGGCCAAGCAATGTGGAATAATTTACCAGCATTACGATCCGTCTGATAATTAAGTTAAGCTGTTATTGTTTCATTCTTGTGCATGCAATGCTGTCGGAGGAAAATTTGTTTTTTAAATAAGTATTCCTTGTAGTAATTACATAGCTTTATGTTGAGGATCTCCTATTACCACCAGACAAGCAGATCTATAACAAAAAAGCTTTCTTCTTGTTTAACCACTTCAACCAACATCTTGACATTATTAAGTAGAAATAAATGCGTCTTTGTTCAAGACATTTGCTGCCAATACAATAGATCTTGTGTGATGTGTATTTTGCAATGGTTCAATAGGTGCACCCAAAGAGAAATCTACTGTACTGTGTTATATGAGTCCAAAATTAGACATTAATCTGAGATTTAGCTTTAAATTTATGAATTAGGACTGGAGGAAAACATACTGTTTATGAGGAAGATCTCTATATTTAAAATCATTAAGTTATATGTAAATATAGCAGATATGAATATAGAATATGTTTGTATTCTTCCAGGTGTTCTTTAAGCACCTACATACTGTATTTGAGAAATACTTGAAGTGCACTCATTAATATTAAATTTGTATTCATATACTCTTTTATATTCAACATGTTTTGGAAAGAAAAAGAAGGAAAGAATTTGCTGTGTTAGCAAATATCAAAGAAATGTTCTTTAATATTTGTTTAATCGCAGAGGAAAATTTTCTAGTGGAGGGTTTTAGGTCTTGTCATTGTTTTAGTCTGTCTCATTTCAAAATCCTTCAAAATGGCAGCACTCTGATCAAACAGAGTTAAAGACTCCACTGGTCTACTCTGCTTTCCTGTTTTTTGTGCTTGTGGTCTTAAGTTACTGACCTCCTAGCTCCCTGGCTCCTTTTTACCATATCATAATAATTTACTCTGAACAGCCTTTTCTTGTTGTTTCAGAAGTAGAGAATCCTCATGCTTTCCTAACCCGTACGTTACACTTGAACTTAACATCACTAGGAAACTGTCTCTTTTTCCTGACCTTTAGTTTTTGATATTATGCCTCCATGAATCAAGTGTTTGGCATTCCATTTACAGCCATACAGTCAACTAGTAAGGAATTTCCTCAAATCCAGTTGCCTGTTAGTCATCTCTACTAAAATGATGCGGGGAAAACAAGAGTAAATAAAAACATCATGGTAAAAGATAGTTGCTTTTTCCTTTCAGAGTACATCCCAAAAAAATGGTCATTTCATACCACAGGTTGTTTTGAATTAGCTTTAAGTTTGCAAAATGAATGTTTTTCATCAGTTAAAATAATTATAAAATCTGAAAAAAAATGTCAGACTTTAGAATCTGAAATGTGTTTGGCTTTTGTGCTTGTGTTAGCTAAAAAATGTGACAGTGAGACGCATCTAAACTTTGCAATACATTAGGAAATAGCTGTACATACTTAGTGCTTCATTTATCTCCTGGAAATTATCAATACAAACGTTAAGTATTATGAGGACTTAACTTAAGTGTTCAGAAGTGTTTAGAAAAGTTTCTTCTACAAATAGCCTCTTAATATCTGTGCTCTAACAATCATTAATTGTTTCTGTTGCTCCTTGGCAGGAACTCGCGCTGACAAATGCATTGTCGCATGTAGCGAAAGCATCAAGTTCAGATGGGTCTTTCCCAAACTCCTGGGATCTTCATGGGTTGAATGTGGAAGCACCATGCTTTTCACCTCCCAGTCCTTCCTGCCAGCGACTGTGGCTCGTGTCTCTGGACAAGTGTAAGGCATGTTTAGACTTGCACTTGGGATTGGACTCCGTGAGCAGTAAGCAGCCACCTGCAGCGTGGAAGGGAACTCCACCTATCAGCCTGCCTTTGGACCAGAGCGCTGGGCAGTTACTATGCAGTTTGGACTGGTTGTGGTGGTGGTTTTCCTAAGCTTAATGGATTATAGCAGCAGCCTCAAGGTCTTAAAGGGAAGGAGGCAGAGACGAAGTAAGTGAGCTCACGTTGACTTTTTATGTCTTCTTGCTTCATGTTCTACACATTAACATGAACATATTGTTACAAATACGTGTCATAAGGTAGATAATAGTATATGTATGATATATCTGTTGGTCCATGTATTATTAAACTATCCAGCATAAATCTACCTAAACCAACACAGATAGAACAATAAACAGACAAACCTGTTTTCAAAGGGCAAAGAAACTCTATGTATATACAGTAATTTAAATGATGGTTTATAACTTTCCAGTACAGGGTCACACATACATAAACTTTTGTTTTTCTATAACAACCTCTATTTTTAGTTCTGTTCCATTGTTTATATGTGTACGCCTTTGCAGTTCATGTGTAGCTTAATTGTTATAGAGAGTGTTTATGGAGTGTCTTAAAATGATAACAAGCCAGAATCTTTTGTGTGTATACTGTCCAGATTAAAACATTCTTGGTGCTGAAGCGATGGTCTACTTACTTAGCACCTTTTGGTGATTACTGTAACTTCATGTTTTATAAAACAATATACCATATAGATAGCACCTACTGTACCTCCACACACCTCTTGCAAGTATACTGTATAAGCTGCCTCTTTGCTGCTTGTGATCAGAGTGCATACCTGTATTTTACAAGATACAGTGACTCTCTTTTGCTATACAAAGGATTATGTGGGTTTTTTTATTTATTTATTAGGTTTTCTTGCTGTCTTGAGGCCACAACTGAAAACTGTGCTTACATTAATAAGGACTTGGCAGCAAAAAAATAATCTCTGTGATGGAAACAAGCGTGCTGTGCCGTATCAAATACCAAATAGAGCAGTAGAATAGGGAACACTTAACCAAAACGATTTTTATGAAAAAAATGTGGTGGTTTACTCTTTGATGCAAATTGGTTTTGTATCTGACCCCTTGTTCTACTTGTCATATGTTTGAGCACGAGAAGCTGTTTTGTGTGTCATACTCCCCCTGCAGGAGAAACACTAAAGTGTGGAAATGTGTGCTTTTGTCCTCTTTTCAATTACCAGCACAGCTTTGCAGTTGTAAGCGCTTAGAGGACATTTACTTGTCTATTTATCAATAAGTACTTTGCTTACTCCACATAAAATTTGGAATAATTATATTAAAGAATTGTTCTAATGTTTTTGTGTACTAATGTCTAATTATAAAAATCCTTTATTTTAAAAAAATACTTTTATATTCTTCTGATGAAAATATGATGTTTGTTGTGTCGGTTAGTACAAATGTTAACTTCTAACAAATCTACCTCAGTAGCCTGCACAATTGTGGTTCAGGTAGTCAGAGAATTTTTGTGAGACCTAGTAATGTGTTCAGTATGGAAACTGTTTGCTATGCAACGTGTTTTATAGTCTGACAACATAGCACAGGGATTTATTCTGTCTGAGATCACTTGTGCCATGAAGACTTCACAGAAAAGAGCAAGCTCATTCATTAATAAAAACACTGTTTACAATATGGTAATGTTACATATCTTCCCTTACAAATTAATAGCAGTTCCTCATAAAATGTACAATAAAGCAGACATTGCTTCAACATTGCATTATTTCTCAAACTGTCATGCTTATGCTGATGTCCAGTCTGTGTGGGCTGAACGAATTGCTGTGCAAAGGTTGACTTTGGATGGCAAAGACAAACACATTTGTGATAATTTTTAACTGAAAACTACTCTCTGGACAGGTGACGCCTTGCTTTCCTTAGTTGCTTGAAGGATCGCCCTCACTCAGAGCACATTAGGAAATTGGTCTAAACATGCCGGGAAGCTGAAAATCCAAGTCCCGTCTGGGCCCCGGATGACTGTAGCAGTGGCTCCAGCTCCTAAGCTCGATGAGCTATTTTTATTATGGAATATCAACAGGATAATACAGAGAAGTGGACTAGACTGCAAGGAGACAGATAAATTCTAAGATTTTACAATCAGCAGTCTCCTGTACTGTATATATTGTATTAATTTTTACAAGAGAAATGCATTTAATATTATTTTAATCTCACACAGAGCCTCTCTTTCCTACTTCTGGGAAGCCACAGGCATGTCTGGGTTTTAGGCTACCCAAGCTCCTAATGAGTTAATTTAATTATTAACTTATTTGATGTTATAATTTTAAAGAGGCATAAGAAGTTAGATATAGTAATGCAATTGTTCAGTATTTATTAGTCCTGATACCAAGGACTGAGCTTGAGCACAAGCAATTTTTATAAGTTAGATAACAGATAAGCACTTGTCAAGAGTGAAGTCAGCCAATCAACAGGTAATAGATTAAAAAGGTCAAATATTTATTACACAAGCCATAGACATAAGTGCACGATACATTAACTAATATTTACAACTGCTCTTTATGAGTAAAGTGAGGTCTTCAAAGCAAAACATCACACCAGCCTTCCCTGATCCCTTACATGATCCTAATGCATCTGAAGGGGGCTGCATTACTTGAAATAAATATATACTTAAATACAGCAATGTTCCCTCTAAGCTGTGCGCATGTGTGCGCGCATACAGGTTATGAAATCAGCGCAAAAAAAAATATGATTATAATAAAATAAACATGGTTGTCATTTGAAAAATGTTAAATTGACCACATGAGACTGACTGCGAGAGAACCAACTGGGCTGTGTGCGCTATTATTGCTACTCGATAATCGTAAGCTATACTCTATGACTGGACTCATTGAATCACTGTCCCGGTCTTTTGGATCTCTATGCTTCTATGAGAATGACTATATTAACAAAAAAATAATTTGGTAATGTGGTATGAAATTTACATACACTCAATTTAGTGCGCACAAGTTTTTGTCACTGGTGCACAACTTTGTTGCGCACAAAGGCCATTACAAATTAGAGGGACCATTGCTTATAAATATAAATAAGACTGTTTTCATAAACTAAACAATCCTCCTCAGATGCCTGCCCTCTTAACTGATACCAAGGCGACATTTAATCCCTAACAGAAAAAGCATCCAAATAAACAAGCCTGGTGGTCTTAAAGAGGAAACTGAAATAATTCCACAGATATGAAAAACATATCTTCTTTACCTCCATTTCTAGTTTGAGTCCCTTCCACATTTAAGACCGGATACGTTTCAGTCTGTCAAGGAGGAATCCAGTGGCAAACATTAGTGGCAAAGTTGGACCTCGTTCTCTCTTGCCTCGTCACATCTTCCCTTCTGCAGAGAACTCCAAAAGGAGAGAGACAGCAAAAGTCACAACCCTTAAATTGTAGTCAAGCAGTTGGGATCGTAGGATTAATATGATTAAAATGAATATGAAAGTACAAGAAAATATTTATTTTCTTGTACTTTCATATTCATACAATAACATTTGATCATACAATAACAGAAGCATACTTTGTGTTCACTCCAGTGATTTCAAGTGACACAAAACTGGTCCCCGTTCACTTTAAGTGAAATTGTAAAAGGCACTATTTGACTATGTGTCCCTTTCAGATAAAAAACTGCTTCCACTCCTTGAGCTCATTAGACTCTTTGTCTAATCATTACAGATGCTTTGAGTTCTTGCCTGTTCTTCAGATGTTGTATCTTCAATTATTTATTTAATATCACCCAAGAAATATGGAGGCATTTTCTACTACATAAGCAGGGAAAAAATGTTTTTGTAAACTTCAGAATTCTTTCTGTTGCTGCAAGCATTAGTTACATTAGTTATATTGTTAATAAAGATTATTGAGCAAGTTCCAGACATGACTGAAATACTGTACATATTCCTTAAAGCAAATCTGTTTTGACTTTTGTCCCAATACATTTTGAAGGCACTGCATATGCACTGCAAACTGCAAATATACACTGCAAACAACTGTTCCTTGTTGTTTGCCTTTTTAAAGACAAAGTTGGTGATTTTGACAGGCTGGGGGATTTCTGAGACTTTTATAGCCATATAAGGAGAGCAGAACTATCTGCTCTCCACTCATTTGCGAATGTTGTCTAGTTTGATGAGTTTGTGAGTTACATTTCTGATCAGATGGTTCAACTGGGACAACACATTGAAATAAATACACTCCCCCCACTGCAGCCAAAGTGGATGTACAAGATTATAATAATAATTAATAATTGCTGTTACTTATATAGCACTTTTCTGGACACTCCTCTCAAAGCACTTTACAGGTAATGGGGACTCCCCTCCACCACCACCCATGTGCAGCATCCACCTGGATGATGCGACGGCAGCCATAGTTCACCAGTATACTCACCACACACCAGCTATCAGTGGGGAGGAGAGCAGAGTAATGAAGTCAATTCATAGATGGGGATTATTAGGAGGCCATGACTGGTAAGGGCCAATGGGAAATTTGGCCAGGACGCTGGGGTTACACCCCTACTCTTTTCGAGAAACACCCTGGGATTTTTAATGACCAGAGAGAGTCAGGACCTCGGTTTTACATCTCATCCCAAGGATGGTGCTATAGTGTCCCTGTCACTATACTGGGGCATTAGGACCCACATGGACCACAGGGTGTGCCCCTGCCTGCCCCACTAACACCTCTTCCAGCAGCAAACTTTCCCAGTTTTTCCCAGGAGGTCTCCCATCCAGGTACTGACCAGGCTCACACCTGCTTAGCTTCTGTGGGCTGCCAGTTGTGAGTTGCAGAGTGATATGGCTGCTGGCCAAGATGAGGGACAAAAAGAAATTTCCAGCTTCCACATCCCTGGTAGACCCAACACACAACACTATTAACCAAAGCTGATTATACAGTAGGTTTTGATTAGTTTGTTTCCTCTGAACTATGCAAGGTTGTGGCTCTCTCCAGGACCAGGATTGGGGACAAAACAAAGTGTCCAGCACCTGGTTTTTGATCTAAGAGCCTGTAGCTATAAAATGCTTATTATTCAGTACCAGCTGTTTCTTTTTCAGATTTTGGTCTTTGAGACTGGGCATGATTTGTTTCACCTTTTTACATTTTTATTATTAAGATCAGAAGGGTAACAAGAAGAAGCCACTTGACCCATCCCGATTTTCTGCTTGTGGTGACTT